TATTCTAGTTTAGAGCGACGCGCAGTGATCAGACGCTATAAGGCCTCCGCCTTGATCCGCCCCTGATGATTAATGTCAATAATATTTATAAGTATTAAATCCAAATAAAGCAAGAGTGCTGACGGTAAAAACATGATGTTGATTGACATGCTAATTGCTATTATCAGAGAAAAAAAAACCCAACAATATATAGTGTAGTAATAATATAGGCTAGGCCTAGATCGTATTTATTTTACTTTGGGCGTCTTTTCTTCAGTTATTTATAGCCTATTAAATGTATATTATAAAATAAAATGTCTAACGAAACTTACGAATGGTAACTCTTATCTCCAAATCCTTACAAAAAAGGTTGTAGCAACCAAAAACACACGTTATCACCATTTGCAGCCGACGTCGACACTATAGACCAGGGTCTTGCGTAATAGAACTAGTTCTAGTGGGGCGGTTAAGGAAGAATTTTTGGTAGAATCGTGCATTTTGGGTTAAAAGCATGAAACTTGGCACACAGATGGCATCAACCCTACTGAATATTTTGGGGTGTGGATCCACCTCAGCAGCCTCGCCTGGTGGTCGTTACGGCGATTTTTCTCAAAATGGCCCCCATTTTATATCTTTAGAAGTATACATTGTAGAACCATGACCTAGGTGTCTAAATGTATTGCTCTAAGGTCAACCAAGCCAGCGGACACAAAAACATAAGATATAATCAATTACATCAAACACCACATTCAAAATAAATTTTAAAAAATTTTTGTTTAAACTTAAAAATAAATATTGGAAATAACTTTTCAAGCTCATTTCACTCTTTGATATGGTTTATAATATGTAATTTAAAGTGTTTTCAGTGTCACTGAACTTAAAATCAATCTAAATATGAAGAGTTTTCAAAATCCAAGATGGCGGAAATTCAAAATGGCGGCTAGAATTTCCCTAAAATGGTCGATTTTTCGGATAATCGTCATTTTTAAGTTTGATATGGCTAGTGATATACGATGTAAAGGGTTTTCTGTGTCACTGAACTTAAATACAACCTCAAAAGAGGATTTTCCAAAATCCAACATGGCGGAAATTCAAAATGGCGGCCAGAATTTCTCTAAACTGGTCGATTTTTCGGATAATCGTCATTTTTAAGTTTGATATGGCTAGTGATATGCAATTTAAAGGGTTTTCTGTGTCACTGAACTTAAATACAACCTCAAAAGAAGAGTTTCCAAAATCCAAGATGGTTGAAAATCAAAAATGGCGACTAGAATTTCCCTAAAAGGAAAGATTTTACAGATAATCGTCATTTTTTCGGTTTTGTATGGCTTGTAAGAATGTTCTTTATTAGGTTTCAAAGTTAATGAACTTGAAAATAACCTCAGAAATGAATCTTGAAAATGAATATTACCTCAAAAATGAATTTTGAAAATGAATATTACATCAACAATAAATTTTGAAGATGGTAGATGATTGCTTAAAAATAAAAAGGGACAATTGTGAATTTTCCTCTTGGATTGGCTTGTAATAGCAAAGAGTAGTAGTTATTTTGATGGTAACTGGAATTGTTATACTGGATCTCAGCTAAACAAGATTTAATATTATTCCAGCAAAACAATGAGGCATATATATCCAATTGTTACGAATTTATCTATTGTTTATTCAGAAATGGTTCAAAACAGTGGTTCAGTGAGTAAGACTCGCCAAGAAAGCAGTCAATGTTTTTTAAGGCTAGTGATGGCTCTCGAGCGCCTGCCGCTCACCTGAATGTTGACCGAGGGGAGTTTTTTTTCCCTCCCCTTAATATTGAAAATCGCTCTCCTTTATAAAGTCATTGGGGGTTTATTATCATTTATGAAACCAGGAATGACCCCATTACATGCAGTTATTGATCTTCAGAATCATTTCCCATACACACAACTTATCACTCTCCTTAATATCAGATCACTCTCCTTAATTTCTAAATCACTCTCCTTAATTTCTAAATTATTCTTCTTATCGAAACTGTGAGAGCTTTTTTAGTGGAGCGATTTTTTTCAATTTGTTGATTGAGGGGAGCTTTTTTTTGCTCTCCTCTGATATACAAAAAACAACGACTGAGAACGAGGTCCGGGGTTCGATCCCTATGTTTGCTGAGAAAGTACCTCAGGATTTTCCAGGATGCAGTTCGGGGGCTTCTCAAGAAATCAGGTTCATATGTACACGTTGACGTGCGCATAAAAGAACCCTAAACAGTTGGAATTCGAAATAAGAGTAGGCCATAGCACCAGTGTCTGGACCAATTTTCCTCATAGCACACTGCTTGACGAATAACAATATTTATTAACTTTGTTAGTACAGAGCAGTTGGACATTAAACCCCATTGCACCATTTCTGGTTCAGAAGACTTATGCCCGGAAACAGTTTGTGGTATCATCTAGACAGATGAATTCACATTTGTCAGTCATGTATTTCACAAAGTGAAAAGTGTAAAATGAATCATCAAAGTCTCTTATGTCCGGCAACTTTTGTGGTATAGTCTAAATATGGTATCCACAGATCATTTTCGTCTGTAATGTATTGCACACCAAGTTCTAAGTTTAAAAATAATCATCACGAAAATAATTTGAAATGCATTTACGAATAGTATTGTTATCCCAAAAGTCATCCACCACGATTTCCTCTTTTCTAATCTGTTGTTATTACATGTAAAACTTGTTGTGAAATACGTCACTGACGAAAATGACCTATGGATACCACATCTAGACTCTACCACAAAATTTACTAGACACAGAGTCTTCGATGCAAAAACGGATCACATCGCCATTTCTGAACGAATAGGAGAACTTAAATTCTTAACAACTGCATATACCATAAATGATTCTCACTCCGGTAAAACGGTGCAAAGACAAAGGAGATGAAATTAAAAATGCCTCAGTTGGCCCCGTTGTATTGTTATGGGGTGGGGTGGAGGGTCAGAATAATCAGATATTTTCTCCAAAGAAATGAAATGAAATCAAATGAAATGGGATTTAACGTCCTACTGTTTTGCTCCGAACTGGGCTAATGAAGACGGGCATACACCATACAGTGTGCTATGGGGGAAATTTTGCCCGGCCTACTCTTATATCGAATTCCAACTGTCAAGGGATCTTTTACGTGCACGCCAATGTGTACACGGGACCTCGGTTTTTCGTCTCATCCGAATGACTAGACAGCTGTCCTTGTTAGGCCCTCCGTCCTGCAACACTGACAAGGGGGAACCACGCCGGAAAATCTGAATGAACTTTCTCGGCCAATGCAGGGATCGAACACCCGACCTCCAGGCTAGCGAGCCAGCGCCTAACCCACTTAGCCACCGTGATCCCCCCTTTCTCCAAAGAATGTGTCAATTCTTAACATTATCATTAGCATCATATGTTCTTATGCATAAAACAATTAAACTACATTTACTGTGTCTGAAGGTTAAATTCTTTGAAATTCTAATTAGCTTATGGTTAATTGACTGACAGGTAGATTCCTCAGTCCGGTCAATTTCAGTTGCCCCCCCCCCCCCCAAACTTTGCTATTATAAACCAATCCAATAGAAAGATTGATGATTGTCCCTTTTTTTTCTGAAACAATCATCTACAATTATCAAATTCAGTGACTCTGAAAACTTAATAGAGGATATATTACAAGCCATATCAAACAGAAAATTGACGATTATCTTAAAATTTGATCATTTTAGGGAAATTCTGGCCGCCATTTTAAATTTCCGTCATCTTGGATTTTGGAAACTCTTTTTTTAAATTGATTTTAAGTTCAGTGACACCGAAAACCCTTTATATTACATATAACAAACCATATCAAAGCGTTAAATGACTTTTATCTGACAAATCGGCCATTTTAGATAAATGTTGGTTGCCATTTTGAATTTCCGCCATCTTGTATTTTGGAAACTATTTTTTTCTTTAGATTAATTTTAAGCTCAGTGACACTGTAAACCCTTTAAATTATATATTACAAACCAAATCAAACAGTGAAATGACTTTAATCTGACCAATCGGCCATTTTGGGTATATTTTGGCCGCCATTTTGAATTTCCGCCATCTTGGATTTGGGGAAACTAGTTTTAGAGATTTTTTTTCAGTTTAATTACAACAAAAACTTTATATTTGGTATATTACAAGCCATACCTTGCATGATAATCACCCATCTGGAAATTCAGTTTTCTTCAAATTTTGGCGGCCATTTTTTAAAGCAGACAAACCGAAAATTACGTCGTAGATAAATCTTTTTTCAAAAATCGTGTTCAGCTAGCAATTTCGCCTTTGGAAATTGCTGGGCTGAAATGATTTGTAAAAAAAAATGTCTTATTGTGACACCCTAGTTATATGTATTTCAATGGATAGGTGGCCATTTTGGAAAAGATGGCCGTAACGACCACCAGGGGGAGCTGCTGAGGTGGATCCACATCCCAAAATAATCAGTAGGGTTGATGACAGCTATGTGCCAAGTTTCATGCTTTTAACCCAAAGTGCACGATTTTTTGCTTAACCGCCCCACTATTCTATTTATAACTCTATGGTGCAGAATGACAGACGACGTATACTAATCTATGTCACACGCTATGGCGTAGTACAAAAGTGTTGAAAATAGCATTTTATTCATAAATTGGCAGTAAAATCTTAGCATTTGTAGAAGGAATATATATATATATATTTTTGGACGTTAATGTTTCAAGAGGTAACGATAAGTTCAAATTGTTAAAATTCTGACCGTGGGAATGTTTACAGAAGTAAGAATGAAGTGACGCAACATGACGTTTTTACAAAAAAGATACGAATTAAATTAAGAAAAACCTTATGTAGGTCTGTGTGAAATCGACGTAAATAATTCGTATCTTTTTCCTATTTTTTTCTTAAAGGTAAGTTACGAGCCTTTGTGAAACTGCCCCCTGGGTCTTTAAGTAAAAGTTATAAGAAATATCACAGATGATCATGAAGTTCTGTTTTTTATGAGTTCTAATCTAAATGTACTATGGAAACTTGAATTTAAAGGGTTAGCTGTAAATATGACAGCATGTGATACTGGTTATGGGGTATGTAACAATGGTCTGTCTAGTATTGGTGTCACGACTCAAACAGCTGCTGAAATCTGTTCGTAAGTTTCAATTTTAAAATATTAGATTGGTAGATTGATATGTATAAACACAGCCAATCATTATTTGTACAGATTCAGATATAGGCAAATGACGAGTTCCAAAATAAAGTTCTACAAGTAATGTAGGAAAATACGGAGCCCCTTAAGTGCACGATTCCACTCTTATATAATTTTTTCGTGCATGATTCCACTCTTATATAATTATTTCGTTTAAACGAAATACTAATTCGTTATAACGAAATAATTAATTCGTTATAACGAAAAAATTAATTCGTTTAAACGATATAATTAATTCGTTTAAAAGAAATATTAATTCGTTAATACGAAATATTATTTCGTTAATACGAAATACTATTTCGTTAATACGAAATATTATTTCGTTAATACGAAATATTATTTCGTTAATACGAAATATTATTTTATATATTAATATCATATATTGGTGTGAAGCATTGGAGTTAAAACGAATTAGTTACTTCGTTTAAACGAATTAGTTATTTCGTTTAAACGAATTTGTCATTTCGTTTAAACGATTTAGTTATGTAATTAATTCGTTATAACGAAATTATTAATTCGTATTCGATTAAACGAAATATTAATTTGATTAAACGAAATATTAATTTGATTAAACGAAATATTAATTCGTTTTAACTCCAATGCTTCACACCAATATATGAAGTAAAGAACTGATTTAAAGTGTATCCTCATTCGTGTGCATAATGTTTTCAAAATAACGGGAGGAGCAACTCGGGAACCCAGTTGATCTCTTTATGTCACCAATGCTTCATAGAGTCCCCACCCCTCAATTGGTCCCCATTACGAAAAACTTGTTTACACGAGGTCTGTCACTGAATTAGGTGGCGTTGTTTCAATTGACGGCTTCTACGTGACAAGGAGCAGGGTAGCTTGTCCAACCTCGTAGGTTCTCTCCGGGTCACCCTGTTCCCCCACCCTCCCACTGCTAATTATTGAATTAAAATTGAACCATGTGTTAATCCAAAACTAACGATAGAGGTCACGATTGTTTTTTTTAACAGATTTTGTTTTCTTTAAATTGGGTGTTTGGAGCATTAGGGTCATTAGTCGACGTGTTAGATCGTAAATCAATTAATTCGATTTAACGTTAATATTTCGTTATAACGAATTAATATTTCGTTATAACGAATTAATATTTAGTTATATCGAATTAATTATTCGTTATAAAGAATTAATTATTTCGTTATAACGAATTAATTATTTCGTTATAACGAAATAATTATATAAGAGTGGAATCATACACGAAAAACTTATATAAGAGTGGAATCGTGCACTTAAGTGGCTCCGTAGGAAAATAATGTGATAAGAAATGTGCTTGGAAAGTTTTGGTTCAAAGTGTAAATATACCAGCACAGTGTTCACGTATTTAATATGTCCATCCCATTTTCAGATTGATTGATACATTTAACACTTGCGCAAGTGCCTTAACATGTCCATCAACCGTTATGGCTTATTATAAAGAAGTGTCCACTAATTTGACAGTTTCGTTTAAAGAGTTACCCTATTTCTGTGGATCAAGTGAGTTGTACATTTTCATGTTCTAACGAAAAAAGTAATTGATAAATGAACTACTTAACATTAAATCATAATGACTGTTTAGATTGCCCCCATTATATTTATACTTAGATTTATATCTGGAAAGGAAATCCGAATTGGTATTGGTATTTTGAATAAACACATTGCATATTACATGAATCTGGTAATGATAACAGACACTAGGTAATCTACATCGGCTGTTTTTGCAACTGTTTTATTGATTTAAAAATGTGCTTAAAATCAGTTTAAAACAAATAATAATTTGCTTCTAATTCCAGCAAATACCTGCCAAGATTTATTTGATGCTTGTAATAATACACTTTCTGTTGAAGTTCAAGACAGTTGCAGGTTCGTAGCTGTTAAATAGCAAACAACGAGAACAACATAACTATATTATAATTCCTTTTTATTATTTAACAACATTACAAAACTTATAGTTTGTTTATATATAATTCTTCCTTACAGGTTGGTGTCTACCCAGAAAGCTTGTTTAGGTAACATTGAGAGTCTTTGTAAAGCTAGTCAAATGAACGCTATCAATACAACGGTAGGGCAGTTAAATGATGACATAATAGCACAATCGCCCACAGGATGTAAGTTTTAACAATATAAAATTATCTAATTATATCATCATCACAGCATATTTACCTGGTAATGGCGCTTGAAAGATGCCTTACTGCTGTCATATTAAATTGGAGATACCTAAAGGCCGATTTTCGGATAATATCTAATTTTTCACGGATTAATCCATGCTAAATGTATTCAAAATGATTAATTAAAATTTATTTAAGAAAAGAAAGCCACGGCTTAGATTCAAATGGTTATAAAGAGGCCCTACCCAGTACTGTTGCGAGCTTTTTAATGGTGGTAATTAAGGCCTATAGCCACCACTGACAGGAGCATTTGGCTTTATATCTGATATTTTTGATTTTTTAAAGGCCAGATAGTTTCAGATATAACAACGTCATCTGGTATAATTATATTTTACACATTATTTCTCATAACAGCTTACGTCCATCCTGTATTGGCAACTCTAACCACCCTTCCGTAATCGCCCTGCATTGGTAGTACTTGACAACCCCTTTCAACAGTTTTGTTTTTATCCCATTTATGCCCCATTTCTTCCAATACGCACACAACTGCTTTTATGTCAAAACTTTCCACTTTCTCAGGCAGTTTGATTTCCGTTGACACCAACACTAACCTACCCCAACCTTTCACAAGCTCTGTCAAAGAGAAAAGTAGTAACAATCCTGTCACAAATGCAGAAACAAGCAACGTGGAAACAACAAAAAGTTTTGTTGGGGAAACAGCAAACACCGAAGGTACACGTAAGGAAAACCCTGTTACAAATGCAGCGCGACCAAGCAATACCGAAGCAACAGAAAAAACAGCTAACAAACAAGCAGCAGGCGGAACAGATAACCAAACTACAGGCGAAACTAGTATAAATTCTGCGTTCAATAAACCCGACACTAGAAAAAGTAAGTGTGTAGTTTTTAAATATAAAACTCAATAATTACAAAATATTGGCTCATCAAAAAGATTTGGATTTTTATACGCCCACTCACGTCTGACCGTTTGTAGTTCAAATTGCTTGTTAGTCATTAACCATTGTTACGAAATCTTATATTAGCACAATACCTTCAACACTTCAATATGATCCGAATTGTAAGCAAATAATAATTTGCTCATAATTCCGAGGACTGGTGGGCTGTGTGTCGATGTCTGATATCCCTTGTTTATTGCAAAAGCCAATATAACAATTAATTATGTTTTTAATTTCTAAGCTAATCCAACCAGGAAACCATAATATACTCAGCCAAATTAAAAACTTGACACTGATGAATTTCAAAAAAAAATTTTTCTGGTAAGTCAAATAAATTTTAAAGTGTTTCTAACGATAGTAAGTAGTAAGAAGCCTTTAATTTCATAAAATTGTAAAGTCACGTGGATCACGTGACTTTTGAGCATATAAAGATGAAAACCTGAAAAACACGTGCAAACATAAACTCGTGAGGTCAATCGATGCAAGTTTGCTTAAACTGAACACGCACACGTAACTTGAACTGGAAAAACAAATTAAAATTGTTATTTTCATAATTGTTAGAAAATGCCTCGCCTTTCAAATGTAGAACGTCTACGTGCTATAGGTAGGCTCTATGCTGGTCAGTCTGTGGTCACTGTTGCAAGAGCCTTTAATTGTTCACGCCAGACAATAATTAACCTTAGAATGAGAGTGCTTCAAACTGGAACTATTGCCGACCGCCCAAGGGCGGGAGCGCCACGTGTGACGTCACTCCAGGAAGATCAAGCAATACGATTACGTCAACTTAGAAACAGATTTGTCACTGCAACCTCCACAAGTAGAGAGATGTTTGGTGGAAGGGTAACTGCACAAACTGTTGGAAATCGCTTGCAGGCTGCTGGTCTTCGAGCTCGGAGGCCCTATAATGGATCAATATTGACACCTCTTCATCGCCGTAACCGACTTGTGTGGGCCACAAGACACATAAGATTTACTCAAAGACAGTGGAATTCGGTTGTCTTTAGTGAAGAATCTCGATTCACTTTGAGATTTGCCGATGGCAGGGCCCGAGTGTACCGCAGACGAGGTGAACGTTACGCTCAAGTATGCGTCTGAGAAGTTGACCGATTTGGTGGCGGCAGCGTCATGGTTTGGGGTTCGTTTTGTGCACATGGACGTTCTCCTCTTGTTGTTGTCCAATGGAACTTAAATGCTGTCCATGAAACATGGGCCTGGACTAACGTTTCAACAAGACAATGCTCGACCCCATACAGCAATTGCTACCCAGAATTTTTTCAGAAATGCCGGTGTCCAAGTCCTGGATTGGCCGTCGCTTAGCCCCGACCCTAATCCTATTGAACACATCTGGGTCGCCGTGTTCGTCAGCAATTGAATCCACCACTGACGTTGCAGGACCTTCAACATGCTCTTGCTGAGCAGTGGCGACGTCTTCCTCGGGTAGTGTTTACTAATGTTCTGAGATCCATGAGAAGACGTTGTGTGGCAGTACGAGACGCTAGAGGAGGCCACAACCGTTACTAAACACTTTATTCCGATTGTTCTCCAAGTCTGTGAATTTCATTTTGGGGGGTACTGTGACATCACGAACGTTATCAATGTCAAGGATTTTCGGCGAGACGTATTCTTGCTTTCTGTTGATGTCAAGGTCGTCTGTGCACAACATAACACTAAATCTAGTCCCAAAAATCCCGAGTGTCAAGTTTTTAATTTGGCTGAGTATATAATGACCAAAGCCATTATAGGAGTCCTTTAACAATAAACACACAAGCTTCTTTTTTACACTGTCGCTACCGATATTTTATTCTTTTACATTTACATTATCATTTGAACGTTTACGTTAATTCTTTTTATACGATTCATCACGTTAACTTAATGACGTTATACAATAGATCTACATGTGGAACTTTACTTTTGGTTACAACAACAGCAACAGTAGTAACAGACAGGTTTTGTTACAACAAAAATAAAAATATTAAAATAAATTCAAGTTTGATATACAAGTAAATAAACATTTAGGCATAATCTACGTTTGCTTTAGGTACCATAAATGGACATTAAATTGAATAATAATAATGTTACTTACATCTTGTGGGGACTGTAAAAACAATACAGTCTCGTAATTAACGAAACTATAAAACAATCAACGTTCAACATCTTAACAGAAAAAAACATGGCTGATATAAACAACAACAACAACAACAAACAAAAAAAAAACCAAAAAAAAATGGGGTTGCACATGTATCAGAAATATTAACTAGGACCAATTAATAACTAAATTCTGGACTAGGATCCGTTCGAAAGAATGGATGACATAAATGACCACAAGTGGGTTATTGCCCTAACACATACCAACACCTTACATGAAGTTTTCGGGCTTTGTCAATATGCATAGGTCATATTGAGTCTAACATTACTGTATGAACAAACTTAATTTCGGCTTTTTAAAAATATCTATGTGTTAGAAATCACACCCGGGAAAATTCTACAATTAGATATTCCAACGAATAAAAAGTAAACTTTGACATCGAAAAATTCCAAATTTGAAGCTAATTACGTCACTCATCCGGACAGATTAATTCGTACAAAGGGTGTCCATCTTTTAATTCCTTTTAAGATTTTTTATAGCTTTACATTTCTAAATAGTTAATTCTGACCGAAGTTATGGGTATTTGAAGATGTAGTGTGAATTGATTTGTTTTTTAATTCTTAGTTACCGTATTTGACTAAGTCTCGATTATCCAGTTTATCGATAATTGTTTGAATCTAGCGGGTGTTAAATAATAGTTTATATACCATTTCGGGACTAAAACGTGGTTCAATTTTTTGTTAATAATTCGATTGAGCGTAGGGGACTTTAGCAGTGGAGGAAACCACAGGACCCGGAGAAAACCCATGAGGTTGGATAGGTGACACTACTGCTTTTCATGTACAACCGGGTATCGAAACCACGCCAGTTGACTCAATGATAGACCTTATGAGACACCGCGCACACGCTAACCAATCGGCCATCCAACCCCCTACACAAGACAAACCTGCGAACAGGACACAATATACACAGACACCTCAGGCAACAAACACACATATGAAGTGAATTGATCCGGGGACAAAAGGTAAGCTTTCAAAGCGCTGTGCAGCCCCGGGCCTGTAGTGGTACGAGCTTCACCCAAACTAGGCATAAGGGAAGCACATCAAGAAAAAAAGGAATATTTCCCAAACGTTGTATAATACTGGTGTGAGTAATGATCGGCTGTGTGCTACAAGGAATTTTAATGTAGGTACATTGCAGGAAAAACCTTTGTAACTAACTATTTTTGTGAAATGTAAAAAAAAACAAAAAAAAAACAACAAGTAAATTAAATGGTTTTATGTAGTAACACTAACGATCTCCGAGCTGATGCCATTTCTTATTTAGCAATGTCCC